AGAAGGATTAGCTGTTGAGCAGCCTCAATTTTTTTTCCAGTTTTTTTAAAACAAATTGATTTTTTTCTAAGCAACGTTTTAATTGAAATATAGTAGTTATTAACCCAAAATTTGGTAATTTGGCAATCTTAAATGCTCATTATTTTATAAACGTTGGTCGAAGGTGAATTAATTTTCTGAGCTTCGAGTCAGAGCGTTGATATTTGTCAGATACTAAAAAAAAACTTAGCCAAAATGGATTAATGAAAAGTTCGCAATTGATTTGAAATAAAACATCCCAAGCAAGAGACGGATATGGGTTTTTAAGGGGCGGATTTCAAAAAACATTCGAATTTTCAAAAAACATTCCTAATTGATTTTCCAAGCTCTCTCCAATCACTATGAGACTCTACCTTATCAATTATAAGACCTTACTATGACCAACAGAAAGTTTTGGTCAAAAAATTGTATTATTTTGGTAAGCTCCTCCCTAAGAGTTAATTTAATTTGGCGCCGAAGGCGTAATAGAAAACCCTTAAGGTCGGTCAGGCAAGAAAAATTGTCATATAATGATACCGAAAGACGAACATTTTGAGTGGTCAGAAGGCCCTCCTCGCATGAATCCGCTTCTTAATTTTTTTCGAATTGAGGAGCAACAAGAGTAAACGACTGCTGTTTAAAAATCTCAGAAACTTAAGATCTATTACGGTAGAAAAAAATTGCATAGATAAAAACGAATTTGGATTGAACAATAAAAATGTAATGGACCAATTGCAACTATTAGTTATCTCTCAAGTAATTTTGTATCATTTTTATCATCAACCACATTAACAATGCAACCTACATCTATATGGTTCAGACAGCAAAATTTAAAATAAGATTCATTCAATGATTCGCCTCTCGAATTGCACGCACTGACAACTTTGAGCTTAAAATTGATAGAAATCAATTTTTCTGCAGATAAAAAACGGTTTGAAAACCGATTTACGATAGCCCGCCCAATTAGATACGTCAGTCAATTTAGAACGGTTTAAAAAGATTTTCACAAAGAAACAAAAATTGATTTTATTGCTTAAGAAATTGATTTGAATCGATTTACATGGATTTTTGCAAGGCAGTGAAGTTCATCAAAATCTCGAGAAACTTAATCAATTGTTTCTAGTCCTTTTGTTTCGATAGTTGAGCTAACTTTTAGACTCAAAAAAGTCTCCACTGGAGCTACAGAGAGAAAGAGTCACTCGAGGAGAGTTTTTCACCGCAAACTATTGTGATGAAGGGAATCATTTTCGAGCTTTCTAAATCTAAGGGCGCCCGCAGTATGAAAAGTAAAGTTATGCAAATTTTTTCCAAATGTCATTTTCTTTATCAACGTTCAAGGCTAAATTTTAATAGGCAAATGACCTATACTTGAATAATTCAATCTAGAACAATTCATTTTTGGTGCAACAAGTTTTCTAGTTAATTATAGTCAGGGTTTTTTTCAAGCCAAACATCAACAGGAAAGACAAATCTATAGCATTTTTTAAAATTTTACATTGAAGTTTTTCTGTTCTGTAATAACGGAGAAAATCTAGAGAAAATCGGAATAGAATCTTTTTATACGACGGCTTTTTAATGGCTGCCCTAAAAAGGTTATTTTCGCACTTACTTTGCACTTTCTTTTTGTTAAGTTTTCTCCTATGCGCATTTTTAAAAACTAAGTGATGTATTTCTCTTTGAATATCATGCTATAAGGAACACTTAACTTGGATCAGTTAGTTTTGGAATCATTCAATTTGCCGTACAAGCTACATGTTACAAAACCCATTAATTTTCAAAAACGGTTGCAGGCAAAATTTGTTCTTGACTTTGACCGCAGAACACGAAGTCTTTTAAATATTTCACAATTTTAAGCAAAAAATCAAAATAAGAAAATCGCATCAATTAAAAAAAACTTCATTCCTCACAAACGATCATTCCTCGCAAAATTCTGAGGGGTTTAAAAATTGTCAAAAACACTCGTTTGGAATGAAAACTTGGAGAGATACGCGTGGAGAGATGAAATGAGGAACCAATATATAGATTTTTCTTAAAATTTTTCATCATTTTTTGTTTAAAGCGCGGGTTTTTCTATGCTCGTGGATTTTTTATTCGGTCGAATGACTGTGATCAATTAAACAGTTTAAAAAGAAAAATTTAGAACCTGTTTTATTTTATTCAGTTCTTGAAATTATAAATAAGGATGAGAAAAATGTAATGCAAGTTGTTTATGCGTGGCGAACCAACCCATTATATTTATCCCACACTGCTGACTATGGAGTGATCAAAATATTCAGAGACGTTTGAAAACGGACCATTTGGTCTAAAGGCGTTCTTTTAAGCTTCACACCAAGATATAGTTATTACCAATATCTTATACTAATCTATCAATTTTTGAGCCTGAAAACAATTTATTGTTGTATATTATTATTCAATGTTTCGCCCTGATATACGAACCGTCTTGTTTCAACTGTAAACATATCAGTAGGATGTTAAGAAAACATTTGAAACAGTTAGGGTATTGCCCTGATACGAAACTAATTGTTTGTGAACGAGAAATGGGAAAAACAAAAATGAATGCGCAAAAATTTTTATTGCTACCTGGATTTTCAAACAACGAATTCCGAATCAAAAATAAAAATTTTCAAGATAAATCGAGTTTTAAGATACGTTTTACTTAGAGGACACATCTCCAAATGAAGTGTACCTTCTAGTGGAAACTTATTTATGAGAAAATCTTTTTTTTTTGTGATTTCAGACAACACAAAAGTTTGAATAGAAACTAGTTAATTCTGTTGATTTTCGAAAAAGTGAAGAATATATAAGCTTGGACGGCTTCTGCAGCAGTATTGTTCTGAAACAATATTTGCTCATTCGGGGGGACCGATTTTCGGATCTTTATAAGCCGTCGAGCGCGCTCTGAAACCCTGTCGGGCGCGCTCTGGGTGACTTGTTTCTTGCTCCGAAACAAGTTCCTCTGAGCTGCTTTGAAATTTGATTAGAAAATTGTAGCGCAAAGTATTTTTGCGCGGTTAATTATCCCACACTACAAAATTGTTCCAATTTGAATTGAGGCAAGCTAGTTGTTCTTGTTAATTATTTAGATGATTATTTAGTTTTCATCGTTCTTTTTTTTGACAACTTCATTACACTTTTTCTTAGAAAAACGCTACTCCATAGACTTTAAAACGCAGTCAGAACACTCAAAGCTTGAATCTGACAGGAGCAGTTTTCTTGTTTCGCCCTTCGAAAAGACAATGGAACATATATTTTTCTTTTTTCGAGTATACAAACCATAAATATAGCAAGCATATTTACTACTTTTTCAATCTACTGATTCCGTTTTGCAATAAAAAATAATTGTCTTCTCAATGGCTTGTATCAAACAGTTGCTGACGAAAAAAACCGGAAGAAAAAAACAATACAAAAACGGAAACAAAAAACGATGAACAATGCGCAATTAGCGAACTGATAAGTTAAACCACTTGTATTATGTGTCAGTTCTTGAATTTTGTTTGAATTTTGACAGAGCTGCATACCTTATGTCAAATGACAAACGGAATATGTCGTTAATCCGCGTTACGGAATGTTCTTACACTTTTTTCCGTAATTTATTTCCACAGGTGGTCCCTCCTTGGTGAAAAAACCACATTTTATATTTCACATCACCCCCATCAAATTGATTCAAATTATGGATTATCGATTATCGGCTGGTAAGTTTTACTGTGTAGTTAACAGTTTCCAACAATAAGTAACACTCAGTTTAAGTTGTTTGGTTTTTCAATCAAGAAGCTCAGCATTTTTTTCTGGTCTGTAAAGCAAAAAAAAACTTCTTTGTGGTTTTGGATAACTGCCCACGAAATTAAATGAGACCTTGAAAGTTCTGAGAACATGAAAATTGGTTAGAAAAATCACCCCCTCCCCACACGCTATGTGAAATACAAATCATTTGTTTTTATACACCTAAGTAGCAAAAAAACCGCATTACATGCCTCAAATGAATTTGAAACGATTTTAAGACTAGTTAAATTTTCGCTTACGCGTTAAAAGCACGAATAATATCTCGCGCAGTTTGTCCCAAATTGTTCAAAAAGGGAACTTTTAAATACTCAAAATTTTACAAAAAATGATCACGGGCCAAATAATTTCTTTTTAAATTGAGCTCAATACAACAATATTCCTCGAAAGATATTAATTTCGTCAAAAAAAGCTGGTAAAAATGTCAAAGATTATATGGGGAAAAAACCCAAATGTTTTTTAACTTTCTTAGAAATGTGGAACAATAACCCATTTTCAAAATTTCTTCGTTGATCCGGTCAAAAAAATCCAAGACTTTGCGTATAAGTTTTTTTTCAAATTCAGTTTTTTAAATTATCTCTCACACATATTAAACACAATTTGATAGATTACAATTGCACAAATTGGCTTAATTAGACATTAATTAACCCTTTTAATTTTACCAACAACGATAACTGGCAAAAAAAATCAACGGTAATTCAATTGGCAAGTGTTGGGAAAAACGAAAACCTAAAAAAAATTAAGCCAGGATTTCCTTTCAAATTGTTACTTCAGTATATATTACAGGGCAGTCGGAACATTTAGGTCAACGCCCTGATGCAAGCAATCTTGTTCTCTTGTCTGAAAATACTAAGCATTCACTTCAATAGTCTAGGAAAATGTTTATCATGCATTTACATTTTTCTTTCGAATTTTATGGAATTTATGCATATTTTCATTAAAAGCTGATCTACATATTATATGCATTATCAGCATTTGTCATCGATTGCGGTTAATTGGTAAACTGTCTCTGACTAAAATTTCTGGAGCCTAAAACCTGGAAAATGGGAGAATTTAGCGTGCATGAAATTGATCGCTCACAGTAGGTTCTCAACATAATCCTAAATTTTTTGCACGGGTCTGCCTTTATACAGGTGCTTTATCTTTGTCCTGATGTTTTACAGTTCATTGATCAACACGAAAAAAATTCCCCTGAAAATTTACTTCTTATTAATTTAGTTTCGTATGAATGATTTACAAATAAGCTCAATTCATCAATTGATTGCGCTTTTTTCAGCTAGCTTTTTTCATTTGTTGCTTCCTTTGGATCCTTCGCAGTTCCATTCGGCTGCTCAGTTTCTTTCGATTTTGAGTCTTTCTTCAATGTCGGCGGTGGAATAATAGTGACCGGAATATGTGCATGATGTAAGACGTAGTCGCTGATACTGCCCAGAAAAGTCCTCCTAATCGCACCCATGCCTCTGTTGCCCATAATGACGTAATGAATACTTCTCTGCTCACAAGCATCAATAATCGCCTCCCCCGCATGATTGAAAGCGGAAGAGTAGAGAAACTCGCCTACAGGCACTTTTCCATTAAGTTTTTTTTTGCTTCAAAGTAGTGGGATCTTCATCTGAGTATCAAAAGATCTTAGTCTGTCCAAAATTTTGGACAGACTAAGTTCAAATATTAGTAGCAAAAACTTCGGACAAACAGAATTAATTAAAATGAGCAGTCAGTGTTTTTCGACGTTTTTTTGCATGCAAAATCTGAAGCCGAATAACCTTCAATTTTTTGTCAGACTAAATTCGAAATGCGAGGTCATCGATTATTCAATGACTACGCAAGCCGCCTAATTTTTAAATGCTGCGTTGTAAATCCAGATCTAACAATAAATCAGGCTAGCAAAATTACTTAAATTCAAAATTTACCGTTTATGAAATTTTACAAAGACGCATATCAAGGAGTTATAATAAGTAGCAAAAAGTTCGGACAGACAAAATTAATTAAAAAGAGTAATTGACCTTTTTTGGAAATATTTTGCATGCAAAATCTAACTTTTCAGTCCGATTTCGTGTCTCAAGGCTGTATGAAAGAAGAAATTGCATGCAAAAATCTGTCAAAATAGTACGATTGCTCTTTTCAATTAATTCTGTATGTCCGAACTTTTTCAACTCTCTATATATTCAACAACAAAAAAATTAGGCCGCCCCAATAAAACAGATGGAAGTGAAGATGATCAAATCATTCAAAATTTGGAAACTAATTTCAGAAATCCTCAGCCCCCTGAGCAATAATGTTCCCGTCTCAAGATTTACTTTTCAACGTATTCAAAAAGCAGGATTTCGTTACGAGAAACTCGCAAATTTTTCGACGTCACAACAATGAGTAAAACGAATCTCTTATGCAAATCGTTACTTGAATTTCGATTGGATTTAGATTATGTTTTCCGACGAAATGTTTGTGAAATTTAAAAACGAGAAAATACTTTTGGAGACGGTCCGGCAAACGATTTGAAACACGAACTTCGATCGATACCCAAATTTAGAGGGGTAGAAATTTGACAGTCTGGGGTTGTTTTTTATTTTTTTGATTTCGGCTGTATCGAAACTTTCTATTCGACAATGAACGCCCAGCATTATACAGAAAAAATTTTATCAAAATTTCTGCTCCTTTGTGTGGACATGCTGAAACCCCCCCCCCCCCCGAGAAGAACGTTTGTTTTTCAGCAATACAATACCACCCCCATACTGCAAATGTGACAAAAAATTATTTACCAGAAAAAAATTGTTCGTCTCTCGATTGGCCACCATGTAGCCCTGATCTAAACCTTATCGAAATTAGTGGGGGGAAAAAGAAAAAAATGGCTTTAGATCCACCAAAAACTCCTGAAGAAGCTGCCCAAAAAGTTTGAGATATTTGGGTTTCTTTGCCGAAAGAGGATGTGCAAAACCTTGCCCTTAGTGTGCCTGGTCGACTTAGGAATGCAATTTCCCGCCGTGGTTATAGGTTTTGTGCAAAAATTCTGCTTTATGAACTTTCGTCGTTGTGTTTATTTCAGTTTCAACTTCCTTTGATGTCTAGACAGTTACTCTTTTTATTTAATTCTATCTGTCCGAATTTCTTGCAACTCTATCAGAAGCAAAAAAAATCGGACAGATAAAACTAACCAAAAGAGCATGTAAAGCCTAATTTATCAGAGTTTGAGGCTCAAGGTTCTCCAAAAAAAAATGAAATTGCTTTTAAAGATCTGTCGAAATGGGACGATTGCTTTAATAAATAATTCTGTCTGTCCGAATTTTTTATGCCCCATTTTATTCATTTTTCGGAAAAAAAATGCCTGCAAAATATTTATAAAAATTTGGCAGATTGCTCTTTGTATTTTTCTGTCTATGCGAATTTTTGCAACTGTTTCTAGTTGCTAACTATAGTAATCTTGGTCAGGGGCGGATCTAGAATTTTCTCGAGGGGGGGCGGATTTTTTTTTTTAGGTCGACCAAATTGATTTTCGAGCTCTCCCAAAGCACTGTTTTGCCCCTATTTTAGCTAAATTTTCTGCGCCGCAGGCAAATTTCAAATTTTTGAAAAAACAGTCAAAGCCGTTTTTGGGCACTTTTTGAAAAATTTTGACAAAAAAAATCGCGTTTATTTTTGGCGCGCGCTCCCCCTCAAAGTTAGTATATATTGGCGCCCAAGGCGCCTTTAGAAAAAATTTAGGGTGGGTTGGCCAAAAATGGATTCTGAAAAAGTATCAAAGGGGGACCCTTTGGGTCGGCAGGGGGTCGAATTCCTGAGGGGGGGGGGCGTCCGCCCCGCCTTCCCCCTAAATCCGCCCCTGATCTTGGTTCAGCTTTCAAAAAGATATCAGGCAATAACGCCAAAGACAATTTTCAGAGCCTTTAAGTACGGGAAGGAGTGTTGCTTCTTGTTGCCATATGAACTACGCCAGAAAAAGAAAAATTTCATTAAAAAAACCGTTAAGCTAAGGTAAATAACAGATATTTGAACTACTTAAAAAAAGGGTTAGTCATAACGAAAAGTGAGCTGGCCTTGAACATGGTTGACATTGAGCAGATTGACGTACTTCAGTTTGAGTTCTTTGACCTCTTGCTCTTTCTCCTTAAGCATCTTCTCAACTGCAGTCATCGGAAGAGGACCTGAAAATTCACTTTTCAATAACTTCAGGAGTCAATGCGTCCTAAGTCAATCTTGTCACAGAACTCTGGACTAGACTGTTCAATAATTTTCCTTCTGCCTTCAGGATATTCTACACTTAAAAATTAGCGATATTTCAACGCTTAAAATTCAGTTTCTATTCCATACAGGATAGACAATATTTCGGCAACTATTTTTTTCCAAAAACTGTCTTAACTGGTTAGTGAAAATACCCAGGCAAGCCCGAAAAAGTTGCTTTCAAACATCTTGCTAAAACCTTGAAATCAAAAATTTGACTTCAATGACTGCAAACTAGATAAGTTTGATTCAATGTGGGTGTATTTCATCGTTGACAATTTGGACATCTTGCCGACCTTGAGTAAACTGAATTGGTTAGAGAATGGGCGTAGTTTTCTTGGTTTTTGTGATGCGACTTCAAAGTGAGAATTTTTTTATGTCAAATGAACATTAGGGTTAAATATTCCCGTTCGGATGCATTGCTCGCTCGAAAAGAATTTTGCGCATAATTTGGCATTATCTATACACTTCCCTGGTTTAGAAAATTTACTTAGTGCGAACGCATATGCTGAATAAAGTTGACATGTATGGGTAATTTATATTATTTATTGGTAGTAATAATAGCTCGTGCTTACTTATCTCACCTGCCCACGTGTATCCACTGGATGGGATGATGCTACTGGTGTCCACACTGTGGAATAGCACCACAAAGTCCTGGGGTAGTTTGCCAAACTTGAAGTACCACTCAACCGCGCGCAGAGAGTGATCGCTCTCATCCACCGGCAACAACACCTACGCAAGCATGGCCGAACATAAAAACTACAAATGCTTGCTTTGTAAGTATTAGAATTTCCGACTGCTTACTTATAGGTGTAAATAACTCTTATGACAGTGAAAAATCTTTTCCGATGCAAAAGTCTTCAAAAGTTTTCCTTGCCGTATCGCGCTTGGATAAGGCTTCGCCCCCATATGTCAAATTCCTTACAGCATATCTCCTATCTCCAACACTTACAACCTATCTCCAAATCTTCATATTTGTGGCTCTAAAATTTGTTGGTAAACTATCGCAGCCACTAATTTCTTGTTACAGAAGGCTAATCACGGTAGATCATATACGCAATAATGAAGCTAAAAGGTAGTTTGAATATTCTTGTGGCCTACCTTCCTGTGCTGATCAGGTCCGAAGTCCAATTGAGGCATGACGAGTACAGATAGTCACGTGATCCAAGATAAACGCTAAACAGGTTCAAAACTAATGTTTTAGGCTTCTTAGAGAAATAAAATGCCAAAACTGAAGTAAACCCAGATCTTAATTTTATTTTTACAAACTAATTTTGAAATATCGTACCAAGCTTGTTTCTTAATCAGCGAGACTCTCACCTCTGCTTAGATTTGATTTCAGTCTCCGCCAATACAGTGCTGATTTAAATTAACCGGACAAAACGCGTTAAACTTGAAATTTAAAACGCCTTTTTCTCAAATTGGGATGATTTTAGGTGAAAACTTGTGAAGACAAAACTTGCTTAGAATTTTAGCAGAGTTAATATGGTGTAATTTGTTTTGCGGAATTCGGGTCCGAAATTTTACCCCAAAAATGGGTCATTTTGGCTTTTCTTAGTTAATCAAAAATTACGCCAAAAATACCCAGTCGATCACAGACATAATTATTTCAAAGTGAGCCCCTTACGTAGCTCAACAAACTTTAAGAAGGGTATTTTCTCCAAAAAAAATGCAAATTGTTTAAAAATTGTTTTTAAATAAAAAGTTGGTATTTTATATAGTAAAAATGACCTTTTTTGTCTATCAAACAAAAATAAATTAACTTATACAATTTTTTGGAGATTATACCCTTCTTAAAGTTTGTTGAGCTACGCAAGGGGCTTACTTTGATATAATTATGTCTGTAATCGACTGGGTATTTTTGGCGTAATTTTTGATTAACTAAGAAAAACCAAAATGACCCATTTTTGGGGTAAAATTTTGGACCCGATTTTTGCAAAACAAGTTACACCATATTAATTCTGCTAAAATTTTAAGCAAGTTTTGTCTTCATGAGTTTTCTCCTAAAATCAACCCAATTTGAGAAAAACGCGTTTTAAATTTCAAGTTTAACGCGTTTTGTCCGGTTAATTTAAATCAGCACTGTACAGTGCTGATTTAAATTATCCGGACGAAACGAACAAAACTTGAATTTTCAAACGCGTTTTTCTCAAATTGGGTTAAGATTAGACAAAAAGTGAAGACAACAAAAGTTGCTTAGAATTTCACCAGAATTAATATGGTGCTATTTTTTCTCCGAAATTTTCAACAAAAATGTTTCCCCAAAAATGGGTCATTTTGGCTTTTTTTCAATTAATCAAGAATTAACTAGAATTAATGAAACAATTAATCAAGAATTAATGAAACTATTTTGTTAATTGATATGAAAATTATATCACAGGAAGCCTCTTACGCAGTTCAACAAAGTTTAAGAAGGGTTAAATCTCCAAAAACCAGTATAAATGAAAAAATTTTCACTTGATAGTCAATAAATGTGATTTTTACTATATAAAACCCAGAATCTCTGTTTTAAAATAAGTTTTGAACAATTTGCGCAAGTTTTTGGCAAATTAACTCTTCTTAAACTTTGTTGAACTGCGTAAGAGGCTTCCTGTGATATAATTTTCATATCAATTAACAAAGTAGTTTCAGCGTAATTCTTGATTAATTGAAAAAAGCCAAAATGACCCATTTTTGGGGTAACATTTTTGTTGAGAATTTTAGAGAAAAAATGGCACCATATTAATTCTGGTGAAATTCTAAGCAACTTTTGTCGTCTTCACTTTTTGTCTAATCTTAACCCAATTTGAGAAAAACGCGTTTGAAAGTTCAAGTTTTGTTCGTTTCGTCCGGATAATTTAAATCAGCACTGTAGAAGTTAATAAGGCAAAACTCAATTTCTGCAATCACGCTGCGTTGATTTCTTTTGGCTATCTAAGCTCTTTCAAGTTCCGGAGGTTTGCCGAGAGAGATACGATTTTGGTGTTTCTGTGCAATAGTGAATTCGAATTATCCGAAGGTCATATACCAACAATTAATTAACTTTGTTCAAGAACTGGTGTTCTTATTAAGTGCTCTAAATAATCTTTGAAAAGCAGACAAGACCAAAGCAGCATGTATGTTCTGAACACTGTTGTAAGTTTAGTCATTTGAAGAACGAATATTATCAACTGTGAAAACGCACAGAAATTTTATTTATGATTTTCATGGTAATTGCGATAAATGCATTTTTGTTACAATTTTCGACGAAATTGACGGATCATTTCTGATCGCAGAAAAATCGACGTTTAACTAGCTATTTTTGGCGAAATTTTTTATAGAATCTGAAGCATCCCGATGTACTACTATAATGATAGTGGTCCCTTGAGAATTCTTTAGTACTTACGATTGCGCCATTCAGAAAGATGGCGCAGTATGTTTTCAAACAAATTTTATGTTTCGTTACCTCGTAAAAACTCCTTACAATTTTGGAAAATTTAAAAAACTGTCAATAGTGAATTTTGATGGGAAATAAGGCAACCCAATTATGGTTGTTGAAGAGTAAAATAAATTGAAGCGAGCTTGATTCTTGATATAAACTAGAAAGTAATTAGAATTATTAATCTGAACAGTTAGACTCATTTTTGCAAATTTTTGACTTTATAGAAAACTTAGCTATGCGCTGAGTGTATTATTTTGTACTTTAAGTAGCGTGATGTGGAGGGATAATTTTTGTGAAAAAAATTTAGAACATGATTTTTTTAAACATTTTTTACCAAAGTTTCATCAATTTATTCAAAAGTGAACATTATTATGTACACTTTAAAAAACGGTCGGAACATTCAAGGCTTGATACGAGCAGTCTTGTTCAGTTTGACACTTGTGATTAGCTACCCTCAAAAAGTGGCTATTCTCTTAATGGAGGATCGAAATTGATTCAAAGTTTTAGGCCATCAAAATCTGATATCCGTGCAGTTATAGTCCATGCAGATATTGTAAAATTTGTCTTTCAGTTTTCTTTTTTGTCAGTTTTTGAAATACTAATTTTTGAGTCTTTGATTTGAAATAAATAAAGTCACTGCTGCCAATCTGCTGATTTTGCAATCGGTAAATGCAAATTTTAATGGCTTGTTTTTATTTTCTTTCTTTAAGTTTTTTTGATTTGATTGAGATGTTTGTTCCGACTTTTGAAAAAAAAACAGAACATTTATGCTTGGAATGATTTTTTATACCCCATTAAAGATATTGACTCCCTGATATCAAATATAAGATTATATTTTTACCTCCGATCATTTTTTGATCCGTTCTGGAAGTTTAAAATTGCCAATTTGGTTATGCACTGGACTGATTTTTGTGGGTTTTGGAGTTTTGTTCATAATGCTGAAAACGTAGCGCAAACTTTTTATGCGTGGTGAAATATCCCGAACAACAAAATGGATACAAGTTGAATTGAGATTTTTTATTTGGTCATATTAATTTCGTACCTCAATTTTTTTACACCTGATTACTGATTTTGTCCAAAATGTATAGTTTTTCTTTTTTTTTCCCCAAAAACTATATGATCTGGATTAAGGGACAGTCGGAACATTCAAGGCTTTGCCTTGATATACGAGCAGTCTTGTTGAGACTTAAGTTCTGATTGGCCAAAGTTAACTTCCATCATTCGGTCTCTCTGGCCTAAGCGAGTCGAACATTTGAAAAGTCTTATTTCCAAAGCTCAAAATCAAAAAGTAATTTTATCTGCGAGCATGTGGTAATATTCCGATACAAGAGCTTGGGGTGGTTTATCGATTCAGCCCAATTTCCAAAAAAAACATGTATTCAGTTGGGGAATTGCTCACTGGATTATTATTTTCTCAGCGGAAGCGAACATCGCTATACTAACCTGACACTACGGTGGCCCTGCAATGAATCCAACCAAACTGCTCATTTAATACTTTGATGCTGAAAGTGTGATGCAAACTATTTATGCGTAAGAATTTATTCCTGCAGTACAAAATTTTAGGATATATAATTTAGCGTAATAAAATAAAGGTACTCTGTATACAAGTTGCTGTGCAAATAAATGCAAAATATCATTTTTCCATTCCGAATCAGTTAATGGCAAGATTAAAAGTGAGCAACAGAAGTAAATCTTCTCAAAAATTTCCTTTTAGTTTTTCAGGTTTCCTTTTTTCATAATTTAATCTAATTTTCGAGTCTGTACATATTCTATATAGTCTGTCTTTTCTATACTATGAATGCACTCAAAATAAAATGCCAGGCTCTTTTATTGCTCCCTATTTTTACAATTAACAAATGTCCTACTTAAAACCTGTTGCCGAAACAACAACATTTTCCCCAATCTTTGTAAATCAAAATCACTGTGATCAAGCATTTGTAATCTCTCTGATATAAACACTCGTGAGACAAATTAAAACTAGGAAAGTTGACTCTTGGAGTTAACTGTTTTGACGCAAAGTGACAAGTCAACTAAAAAAACAGCATATGGTTTGCACTCGGCTAGGTGATAACTTTATTCGCTTAAACCAAATTTTTCAAATCTGACCACCATACAACCAAAAAAACGTCTTCTGAAACCGAGTCCTCTCTACTTTTATCAGCAACACCAGCTTCTTCTTCTATGATTAGTTGCTGGCAACAATTGAAGCTAACCGCCAAAAGAGAAGAACTCAGAGGCTTCGGAGCCACAATGACCTCTATGGGTTGCTGGGCTATAATGGGGAAAAGCCCTGATGTAGAATCTCAATCTCATGAACCTCGTGAATCTTAGCTCTATGTTTCTATTGGCGCACTTTACCTTTTAAGAAAAGGAACTAGGAAAGTTCGTCAAATGTACATCAGAAAATCATTGAATTACAGAAATCAACCTAATTGATTTTCCTATTGTTGACGTTGCGTAATTCAGAACAAGTTGCTGCTGTGACAAAAAAGCAGACAAACGATATTCGACAATTGAACTTTTTAAGCAGAAACGTTTCTGGTCACTACCAATCTCGAATTTTTTTCCGTGACTTGCGCATTATCGCTGAAGCTTAATTTAAAATGAGTTTATAAAAAATTGACAGTTGAGTCGGTGATTTTGTTGTTCACCGGAATGTGTATATTATCCGGTTTGATTGCGTTTGCTGGTGGCAGGCTTAAATTTCCTACCTTTAGTAGATTCAACTGATTGTTTAACATTGAACTTAGAACAAGACTGGTGTATCATGACGAAGCCTTGCATATTCTGACTGCCCTTTATCGTCGATGGAAAGGTTTATGGATGAAACATTGCTAAAAATATTCAATAAAAATTTTAAAATGGGTTTTTTTCATTTTTTCTTAATTTTGCATATTTAAACGCTATGCAAAGTATAAAACCAAAAAAAATTGTGATTTCATTAAGATAGTAATCACAATATCAGCGTGTTGCTCTTCTCAAATCAACTTCGAGTTATTTAACTGTTCCGACTTTCGAAAGGGTATTTTTGCTTGGGGTGTTTTTATATTCAGTCAATTATATTCAGTCAAGTCATCTGAAAAGCATTGTTTTCCTGTGTTCAAATTGAAAAAGATATTTCACTTGCAACTTTTTTGTAAAGTTATGGAGCTTTGAAAATTGCTTGGGATAAATAACGAGCGATATATTGCGTTCTTAAAACATGCGTTAGCGGCAAACAAATGCGATACAAACTAATTTGAGGCAAATCGCTTTGTCATAACATTACGATGCAAAAACGCTAAATATATGCCTTTAGAGCAAACTTTAGCGTTTGAGGTGATAAATTGAATTACGAAATAAAGAAAGAAAATTTTTTGTTAAAATTTTGTCAATTATTCAACAAACTTTTAAATTGGCTTTAAATTGTAGTCAGAACTTTCAGGGCTTCGCCCTAATTTACAAGCAGACTTGTTTTTGCTTTTGCTTTAATCGGAAGAGATAGATCGCGCGCTTCTTCTTTCAAAGTATTTAACAATAGTCAAAGAACCTCAAATTCAAACTACCATAATCTTGCAAAATATGGGAAAAGCCGAAACATTTTCCTGATGTTGAGATTTAATGTTTCAATTTCAGTCAAAACGGCTGTTGGAAAGACGAAAATTGTCTAGGGAAAAAAACTACCTCGAGCATTGAATCTGTTCCAATTTCTTCAAAATTGGAGCAATAATCTTTACCATTTTGAAGGCAATTTTGCTACTAGGTAGCCAAAATGGTTTTCTGGTCTTGGCATTCTGTTCGGGTCGCACAGAGGATGCGCGAGTTTTGTTCATTCCCCTGCTTGAACGCATCAGAGGATAGACATGCTGGAGGTGTTTTCTTACCCAGATCAATATTTCTTTCACAGGACCGAGATCAATATTTCTCTCCATGGATCTTCGTGGTCCCAGAAAGGGCGTCCTCGCCAGTACACTATACTGATTTAAAAAGTACTGTGAAACGCTCAATAAAAGACTAACAATGACTATGAGAGGGCTTTGATAATTTTATACTTTTTAATGCATTTTTTACGCGTGGCGAATTATCCAGCACTACAAAATCGTTAATCGTTCCAAAATCAATGAAAGCATTATTATTGATCTCATTTTTCCGTACACGACTTTTTTTGCAAGCGTAAAATTCATTGTTTGTCTAAATTATAGAAACCCAAAACTATTTGAGACAAGTTGTGGACAATCTGAGCATTCACGGCTCCGTCCTGATACAACAGTCGTGTTGATTTTTTAGAGCTGAAATAAAATTTTTTCTAAACTGATTACGCTCAGAAGGCTTTCAAAACTTCAACAAAAAAAGTGAAATTTCAAATCCCAAATTTTAAAGATTACAACAAACATGCTTTGGATAGAGTTTTTCGGTATATGTACATTTACAGTGTAAAGTTATATATACTTCTGTATATGGACTCGAGTGTAATTAATTGCGTTTTGCACGAGTTTCTCACTGGCGATTGAAGTTTTGGGCTTCAATTTTCTGATAATATCACCGTCAATTCAAAATTATACCATCAGTCTCTTTACATTAGGTTCTTCGCAGAGCATCCGATTGAAAAACTCCCAAACTGTGTTTCAATTTAGTTTCAACGAACTACCAAAGTTATCTGATAGGCAGTTAATGCATTATAAAAAAATAAGCGTAAGTATGAGGCCAGCACCTGGTAAGGGTGGTCAATGCTTCAAGTGATATTCTTTTTGACTGTCTGTAAATTTCTCATTTTAAGGCTTGGTTTCATTTAAGTTGGTTAACTTGTAACTATTGTTCAATTTTTTGTTGAGTTCAATTTTTTTAAACCTTCTTTCTAAATTTGTTGTGTATAATTTTTTTTTCTGTTTAGGTAATTTGGTTAAATTATTTTTGGTTTCTATTGTGCATTTAAAAAGAATTAATTATAAGCCGTCTAATTAAATCTTTGATTTTTCAGGATGTGAAAATACTTTGTGCGAACGGTTTAAAACGTTAAAACTGTCTGATTACTGTTTGGCCCAATTGTTCCACTCATTTTGACTGAATTTTCTTAATTTCAAGTTGTCTAAACCGTCTCTGATTGAATTGTTTTGTCGCGTTACCCTTTATATCAAATAGAATACAAGGTTTGAAACTAAGCTGTTTGACTACAGGGTGATGATGTGATGGAATGATAGGATGGAATTGATGTTATCCTATGCGATCTATCTTCACTCTGGACTTGTTTTTGATCATGCTTCGATCATATTCTTTGTATGCCTTTGACGAGCTGTGGAAGAAAGAAAGAAAGAATTTATTCTCATTGTTAATGGTGAATATGCATATAACGAGAATTTAAACATGAAGCACCAGAAACAGTGAGGGGACAGTTAACGAAACCAATTGGGTTACAGAGCACTGCCCGTTTTATCAAATGAAATACTTAAATTGAGATCTTTTCAATGGCTATGGGTTGTTATGGCATGAGAAATTTTAGTTCATGAGATCTTCTAATACTGAGACAAATGTATGGCATCGTTTTTCATTATACTTTTTTTTTACAAATCCGAGAGAACTCTTTTTCAACTCCTGTTGTCTGACTAAAATTACTAATCCTTGAGCCCACTCACCCATAAAAATTTAATATCATAAAAAAGAATTGGATTACTTGTAAGCTAGTGGACTGACCGTTTTCCTAAAAAGAATTCAGTACGCAAAAGTGATATAAAAGCTGCTAGGGGAACAACAAAATGGACCACAAAATACCATTTTTCCCGTGATCTTGAAAAATTCACACAACTCGATTTTGAACAAAACAACTCGCTTCAATCACATGCTGTTTTCAACGCGATTCACCCGGTTGAAGGATGTTACAATATCAACGCGAAAAGCTAAACTGGTAACCGCTTCAAAAAACCTTTTGTTGACAAATAATCAGCCAGTTGTAAATGACTTAGTGCGGAACCATGATTCAAGCATTATGTCGGGTTTGTTCCAGCATACCACGGCCATATTAATCTGAACTGAAACAATTGAAAAATGACATGAAAAGAACGTGATCCAGTTTATGGTTCAGGCCGATTTCTTGTTAAAACATCAGATTCGCTTGTAAATCGAGTTGTATAAAATTGTCTTTATGTTGCGCAATTGATTTCAAAAATGAGTTTTTTTTTCAAAATTACGTAATTTGTTAGATTCTATTTTCAGTTTTCAATTTTTTAGTATATATATATATATTTTACAATTTTGGAAGACAGACCTAGCAAAATTTTACACGCATCAATTTTAGAAAATGTCTTTCTACATGATCAATCTTCATTAAATCTTGGATTGTTTAAATGGTGAACAACATACCGGGTGAGTTATGGTCTAAAATCAAATGATACATCGATTTCCAATTTAGGTCAATTAAAACATCACTTATGTTTTTGAAGATATGTAAAAAAGTCCATAAAATATAAAAACGCTTCGGGTCAAACTGATCTGCTAATGCTTTTTAACACTACATCAAAACCATCTTTATTTTCATATTTCTGCGTTCATTTTTGTACAGTTAAAACATCTCAACGTCTCCACATATATGCAAACCCTGACTTTGCTTAAGTTTCTTGTTGATCAATGATTTTGCGATTCCTTATAGCCCTTTCTGACCTTCGATAACTTGTAGAAAAAAAATCCAGAACGTTACAAAAATCAATTGATAAATTTATGATAAGAATTAGCATATACCAAACTTACTTATAAATTTTCGAAGGCCATTTATGCCGTAAACAGTCATGTTTTTTGCTGATTATGACGTGTTCGTAGGTCCCGCTTCTCCTACTGGTGATGTTTCCCCCAAAAGGACCGGCGGCGGCTTCCAGCTACTGGACACTGACTTCATAAGAGATACGTTCGGCTTCTCCAACCGGGGAGTGATCAGTGACCGCCGGAACAACACCAAAGGCAGGGGCGGATTTAGGGGGGGGCGGGGGGGGCGGACGCCCCCCCCCTCAGGGATTTGACCCCTTGCCGACCCAAATGGTCCCCCCTTTGATACTTTTTCAGAAATCCATTTTTGGCTGACCGACCCTAAAATTTTTCTAAAGGCGCCTTCGGCGCCAATAAATGCTATTTTTGAGGGGGAGCGCGCGCCAAAAAAACGCATTTTTTTTTTCAAAATTTTTCAAAAAGTGCCCAAAAACGGCTTTTTTTGACTGTTTTTTCAAAAATTTGACTGCGGCGCAGAAAATTTTGCCAAAATAAGGGCAAAACAGTGCTTTAGGAGAGCGCGAAAAATAAAAATCAATTTGGTCGACCTAAAAAAAAAAAAAAAAGGTCGTCAAAATTTTGGAAAATTTTTTGAAAATCCGCCCCCCCCTCGAGAAAATCCTAGATCCGCCCCTGACCAAAGGTATCCAGATTGCGACGAACGTGGACTTGTCTCAATGGTGCGAGGAGGAATTTATTCATTTAGGTGAGCGAAAAAAACTTTAGAATACTTTCTTACCACCCAGAGAGCACATATAATTGTACTATTATTAAACTAAGACAGAGGCGGAACTAGGAGGCTGGGAGGGGGGACTTTCAAAAATATTGTCCGTCGTCCAAATTGATTTTGCTAGCACTCTCAATGCACTAAACAGACCCTGTTTTGGCCAAATTTTGTGCGCCTAAAATCGCAAATGTTTACCAAAAATCGCTTTTTTTGGCGCGCGCTCCCCTTTCAAAATTAGTATACATTGACGCCGAAAAATTTTCTAAATCCGCTCCTGCACTAAAAGACGCCTATTTTAGAATCAGGTAAATCAAGTTGACGTTTATTTATTGCCAGTGTGGATCTATATTTTTCTTGAGGGGGGGGGATTTTTAACATTTTTATTTGAAAATTTTGTTGACCTTTTTTTTAGATAGATCATATTGAGTTTCCGATTTCTTTAAATACCATCAAAACCCTATTTTGACAAAAAAAAATTGCACCGCAGGCGAAGTTTTGACGTTAATTTTACCAAGTGTTTCAGATAAAATTTCTCAAAAATCATTCCAATTTCTCATTAAGAAAATGTTCAGGGGTGTCGAATAATGTCCTGTAAGGTTTCGTCCTTGGCGGATTTAGTCCGCGAGCGTATGATCTGAGTGCTGAAAGTTTCACCCCACGTAAAAATAGATGGAAAGAGAGTGCAAAAGGTTCTTAGGCTGTAGGTAGCTTTCGTTTTCACCTCAGGCTGTTGTTTTCACGTCTTAATTGCCTATAGTAATATCAGTTTGAAAAATCATAGTTAAAAAATTTTCCGGTCAACTACAGTTCAAATTTTCAGTATCTCCGCGCAAAATTTATTGAGGAATTCGGCGTTTACTTGGGAAATTTAATCTGAAACATCCTGTACGTGATTCAAATTGAGAAAAAAGAGCAGGTATTATCAAACAGTTTTTGCAATCAGTTAACAGTTTTGTCAATAACGACTACATGCTTAACGACTACATGCATGTTTTTTGAATTTTTTCTGGGCTGGGTAACGTTCCCTTAAGCAACGAGCACGGATCATGTTGGGCCTCATCGGAACATCCGACCTTTCGATTGAGAGGCGGAGACGTAACCACTTCACCACCGCTCCCCTAAAAATACAACTGATAATATTACAATTGACTGTCTAATGGCAACTAGTCTATTTTACCACAATCTGTTTCCAGAGATGCCTGATGACTTGATTGACAAACTGGCGCCCTACCTGGGCAAGCGGGGCCTTGAGGCCGCTCAGGCTCTGAAAGAAATGCCATTGGAGATCACGTGGTTCGACGCAGATCTTCTCTCTAAGGCGGTGATGCGATACTGGGCCAAGTACTATGCTAATATATACGACGAATCTGTTAAGTGTACGTTCACTTCTCTATAAAAATATGAGTGTCATTTTTGAAAAAAGTGTTTGAACTTGTTTTGAGAACTTAAAACATTAAAGGGCTCTGCTCGCATTTCATTTTGCGATGTCGTAAAAGAAACTGCGGTATCGATTACCAAATGATGTCACATTTTTTGATTATATGATCAAGTTACTGAAGACTTAACGAAAAAGCATGTCGACCAAAATGTCGACATGCCGACCAAAATTGGAGGTTAGAAAAATTGACTGAATATGTTTTGTAACTATTTTTAAAAAAACGTGTACAATTTGTATTATTTCAAAAGTCGCTTTAAATCATAGAAACGATTTTGTTCTTATTAAGGAACTGAAAAATTGGCTTCAGATTTGAAAATTTGATCAATTGTGATTGCAATTAATTTCCAAGCAATTTTGCGAGTTTCAGCGATCAAAGGGAGACATCTTCTGAGTTGGGAGGAGTTGGATGTCAGAGTCCGAACGATTATATACGTGGTGTTGCAGCAGGTTCCCTCAGTGTCAACTGTGCCCAACTTCTGGAAGTAAGAACGGACATAGAAGCATTGTAATGGTTTTTTAATTAATTCTCAACTCCCATCAGTTTATGTTAGGCTATCCATTTCTTATCCATATCATTGGTTTGGAGCACAGCAACTTCATTTAAAATGTATAAAATGCTACATCACACTGAACAGGGACAGATATAGGGGGTAGGGGCGCAATTTCGGCACACTCGCCACCCAAAGATCTTAACCTTCCGTAGTAAATTAACTTTTGAAGTCTTTTACTCCACTTTTGATTTTAGTGCCCGCACCGAGCGCCCATGGATTCTAATAGATTATAATGGATTATCGAGACAAAAATAATCCATTATAATCCATTACAGATGTAAAATTCACATCACGAAATCGATTATATTGCCATTATAATCGATTAATTCTGAAAAAATATAATCATTATAATCGATTATAATCCATTATTTTTGTCACTGAAATCGATTTTTTTTGCCAAGATAATCAATTATAATTGATTATTTTTAAATGAAAACCCATTATAATCCATTTCATTTTTAGAACTAAATTCGATTATTTTTTTGCAGGCTAAAAGGGCAGGGTAAACTGGGTGGGGGGGGGGGGGGGTGGGGTAAACTGCTAGGGGGGGATGGTTTATTGTTCGACGTTTGAAGAAAGTGACGGAATGTTTGTTCTTGGGTGGTTTTTTCTTCTGAACAGTTGCGACTTCTTAACTAGCTATTTTTGATGGGATTTTTTTTTTATATATCATTCGAAAAATATTGTTGTCTTGAGCTTAATTTTAAAAAGCTATTTCTACTGTGATCGTTTTTTTTGTAAAATAAAGAAGTTTGAAGATTGTCAATTTGTTGGTCTATTTAATATTTTGCCATAAGCGAAATTGGTAGTGTTCAAAACCTTCAAAAAAACATTCAAAACATTCAAAAACTTTCCATTATAAAAATTTGATTAATTTTTACAAACCGATCACCGCTGTATAGACTTTAAAGAGCAGAAGAAACATTCAGAGGGCGTCGCCCTGATACGAACGGTCATGTTCTATACTTTAAAAGTAGTTTTCTATTTGCTTCAGTCATTTAACACGCCAGCACTGGAAGCACGTGCATTCTGAACTGAAGATAATGTACAAGCGAGACCTGCTTCGGAAAGGGGGCGAGAGCGAATATTTTAATGAGTTCCTGAAACAGGAGAATCTGTTGAATGAGAAGACTGGAGGGCAGCACAAAATGGTCACACTGCAGTTGCCAGACATCAACTCTGGACTGAGTAGGTCCCTGGATAACTTAAACAGCAGCACGAGTGGCTTCAAAGAAGAATCAAGTGGTGAGTCATGCTGAATTGTTCGAACTACAAAGAACCGATCCTGAGCGGCAGTTTTGAAAAATTGTGAACTTGCCCAGTATTCAATTTGGTCTATTTAGTTCGATCTATTCGAAATCTATCTCTATATTAAACGAATGACATGTTTTTCGTCTTCATAACAATCGATCTATTCGAAATCTATCTCTATCTTATATATTAAATGAAAGTCTTTATATGCTATGGACGCAACGTTTTAACTTTTTTTTCCCAGCACAGCGTTTAAGAAGACTTAGATCAGAAGTTTTAAGAATCGTTCAGAGCAACCATCGAGCTCAAGTTTTAAGAGGCGTTTAGTCAAGCAAGAACTTTCAATCATTCTAAATTCTGGATTATTCTAGAAATCTTTCCGAAAAAAGTTCAAAGCTCTTCAAACAAGATGAACTCAATTCAGTTTCAAGGCTAGACAGTACCCACCCACTTACTATCCAAAATTTTGCGTTTACAGATTCATTTCAGTCTAAAACTAAATGACTAAAAAGAGCAACCTCCATGCTTGCAAGAACCAATTTTTAGTAAACTGATTTGCGCTATGAAATAACTTGAAATATTTCATAGCTTGAAAAACTTGTTAAAAAAATCAGACTTTTCGCAAACCAAGCCGATCGAATAAAATATTTCAAAGATTCATAGCTTCAATAAGAAAAAGATAAATTATTGCAAACCATTTTGGTCTATGAAATAGTTTAATAGTTTGAATATCTTGTTTAGAAAAACTTGAACTGTTTGTGAATTGATTGGCTCTGTAAAATGAATGGAAATATTTCAAAAGTTCATTGATTAAATAGCTTGATAGAAAAACTTCAACTTTTTGCAAAATGATTCTTTCTAAAAATACCATGTAATAATTCAAATCTTCCTCGTTCGAATGGCTTCAGCAGAAGAAATAATTTTGTTTGCCTTCAGATTCGCTTCAAAAAATAAGTTGATTTGTTTCAAAGTATCATAACAAGATTCGATTGCTTAAAAAAACTTGAAATTTTCACGAAAGGATACGGTCTAAGAAACAACTTAAAGCACAGAGGAGAAGCTGAGCTTCGCACCACTTGAAATACACATATAGCTCCAAAAGTCATAAGACAATATGTCTCAAACATAAAAAATTTTGAATGATTTTGTTGAAAAAACCGAACGCTAAAATATCAAGAACAATTTTATTGCAAATGTTAAAGAAATCAATTACCTTCAAAAGAAAAAAAATGATTTGGGCTGAACTTTTGTTTTGATAACCAATAGATAAAAACGACCAGAAAACATTTTGATTGAAAAATTGAGATAGAAAAAGCACCAAATATACTCGAAAATTGTTCGTTAATTTTTGCAAACAAACAATTTTGCATATCCAACAAAGTTAATTGGGTGTGAAAGGCCCTATCCGCTTACTGCTATAATACAAGACCAAAAAAAACAAGTTTTCAAGAACTTGATGCAAAATAACAAACAATTGCCACAGAAAAGAATTTGCTGAAAATCTGACAAAACACTGAAAACCTATAAACATAACCCAATTACATCAAAAACTATAAGTTATGAACACATTATTCGCAACGGAAAAAGGTCTATATTACAAAAAACAACATAAAAAAACTGCCTCTGAAATAAAAAAAAACACGAAAAACTTTTTTTTGTCAAAACTGCAGCCGGAGAAAACTACACTTCTAGAGCTCGTGCAGAACTTGGCACCACATTCCTTTGCAGACAAAACAGTCGAGTCAACCTTGCAGTAAAAATCTAGAAGTTTATTTTTTTTGACGTATTGAAACAATACTTTGAATCATCAGCTTCAATCAATTTCAAACAAAATTGTTCAAACCTAAAACACACTTAACTAATTAAAACTCAAGCTAATTTCACGCACTTTTAGAACAAAAAAATCGAGAGCCATGCATCCCAAAAATTGAATTTTTTTTCGCAAAAAAATTGCAGCTGAAAAAAAAGTCAAGTTTTATTTCCAACAGAAAAATTTGGCGCCCGTAAAAACCAGAAAACCACGAACTATATTTATCCTCATGAAAATCAAGAAAAAAGTACTTGAGAAATCTATCAAAAGAATTTACGGAATTATTTACCCGGCAAGTAAGCCGGAAAATTTGTGTCGAAATCAATACTGCCGACAAAAAAATCAACTTCAGCTGTAAAATAATTATCAATTCAGTCGGTGAAGCCAGCTGTTGAATTGCAGCCGTTAGACGTGCAAGTTGGGTAGAAATTGAGAGGCAGGTTGAGATGACCAAACTTCAGTCATCCTATGGATAAAGTTGTTAGCAGGAAAAAAAGTCTGTTATCCGATTGTAATTTTCTTGCTTATCGCAAGAGTATGAATCCAAAAATTCATTGCTTGATCGTTTCAATAGAAGAACTCAAGTTTTTTTGCAAACAGATTTGCTGCATGAAATTACCTGATATTTTGAAGTTTTATTGCTTGAACAGCTTGTTTAGAAAAAATTTAATTTTTCTCAAACTGATTCGCTTCACGAAATTAATTGGAAGTATTTAAAATGTCGTAGCTTGAATAGCTTGCTCAGATAAGTTCAACTTTTCGCGAACCGTTTGTTGTATAAAACGGTAAGTTTTCAAACCGATTTACGATCTGGCTCAGCTTGAGATTGTTCAAAGCTTCATAGCTTGATCAGAACAGCAACTACTTTTTTGCGAGCTGATTAATTACTGGAAAAGGGCTTGCTAGTATTAAACAAATGACAAGTTTTTCATACTCATAAGGCGCAATGGTTAAAATGCGGCTATCGGTCGCAACGTGTAAGAAATTGATATCTGCCAAGCTTGAAAAGAGTTTTATAGAACTACGTTTTCTGAATCTAGAATATTCTCAAATATTTTGGTAGGTCGCTGCTTCAGACAATTTAAACCCAATCAAACTTCAAGACTAGACAGTTCATATCGTTTTCTTTTGCCAAGGGATTTCTCGAATATTTGTTTTTATAAAACGAGCGAAACTTAATACAACGAAAATCTAAGATTTTAAACGCTTGATGCGCTATCAAAAAACTGAAATTTTTCAAAAACTCATGATGAGCTTTCTTTAAGAACGGATATTTTGTGAACCGACTCGTTTTCTCTGAAATTACAAAAAAATGTAGTTTCATCGCTTGATGAGCTTGATCCTTATTTTTGCGTTTTGTTCAAAAAAAAGAAAACAATAAAGCTTCTAAATTTTATCTCTCGATAAGGTTGCCTGAGAAAAATTGATTTTTTTTGCGAACAGATTCACTTTGAAATAACTAAACCTTCATTGCATTACGAGCTTGCTTTGATAAGCTAAATAAGCTTGCTTCGACGTGAGCAACCAAAAAATGGAATTTTTCAAAATTTCGCCGCTTGAGTTTGCTCAAGAAAAGTTATTTTGTTTCGCGAGCCAATTAACTAACTCTGAATTAAGTATAACTTTTCAAACTTTCATTGCTTCATGAACTTGTTTTGACAGTTTGCGCTATAAAAAAACTTAAATCTTTCAAAACTTTGACGCTTGATGAGCTTGCTTAGAAAAATCTTTTTTCTCAACAAATTTACCTCTCTGAAATAATTACTAGCCTTTTGAAGTTTGCTAACCAATTCACGCTATAAAAACTTTAATTATTTCATTGGTTTGACGCTTGATGAGCTTGCTCAAAAAAACTTAGTTTCTTGAAGCGATTTGTTTTTTGAAATAACTACAAATATTCAAAGTTTCTTCTTCGATTGAAAACTTCAATTGGCTAGAAAATGATTCACTGTCTCAAACATGAACCTATCAAATCAAAAAATTTTATCGCTTGATGAGCTTGTTTAGAAAAACTTTTTGTGAACCGAAGTTTTATTGCTTGATAACTTTCGTTCGAAAACTTAAAGCTGAGAATAGATTTTACAGAAATTTGACGATCATTGTTTTTTATTTCATCATCTGATTATAGTTACATCTTTCTAGAAAATTTACGAGAAAAAGCTAAAAATAGATAAGAAAGTAGAGAAAACTAAATAGACCTGAATATTCAAAATTGCAGAGGCCATTTTTTTTCTTTTATTTCAGGAGGCCATGGGGGCAGTGGCTTCTCAATTAAAGACAACCACCTGCTCTCCCTCTCTGCCTGCTCGGGAGGAGGAGGAATGGGCTCCTCTGAGCTCTCCTCGGCTGCCTCTTCCAGCTGCAGACCCCATATAGGCAGTCCTATCCCTCATATTGGATCCGTCAACATGCGGAGGAGCAGATCCCCCAGCATGAACGGCCAGCAACTCCTCATCGACAATTTCGTGAATTCAGATAGGTGAGCATAAAAACTGAGCGAATGGGGCGCTTTTCTTTAAATACGAGGTTATGAGTACAAAAACAACCGTGAGTTTTGCTTGCGAGGTTCTTTTTGAATTTCTATTGAACCTTTTTCGAGCACTCATTCAACGCCAAATTTGTTTACTGAGTCACAAAATTAAGAGAACTAGATTTATTTTGGGTTTTTAAAATATTGATGAATAATTGAAGCTTTTGGATCTAAACTAAAGTTTATCTGCAGTGCCGGCGATGAATCACAGTTGTCGGCCATCGAAGTCCGCGCCTGGGACAAAGACCCCTGTCCCTATCCGAACAAGAAACACGACCACTTGGGCCGTAAACACCGTTCGTCAAGCTTCAACTCAAATGCCAATGAAAACAACTGCGATATCAAAGTTCCGCCTCCCGGGTACAGTGAGATAACAGTGGTAGATGACATAACAGTCATGCACAAGTTGGAAAGACAATCCATATCTAAAGCATCTTCTTGTGCCTTCACGTCGTCAACTCCTGTGAGCGGATCTCCGAACCCCTCGCGACGAGGATCTTTTACTTTGGAACCGATTAACAGTCCTGTACCTAGTAGGCGCAGCAGTACACACAGCAAATCAAGTAACAGACACAATGAACGGGACAGAAGAGGTTCAATGATCAACCTGTTGCCGCCCTTGGATAACAGTTTGCGCCAAATATCCGACAGTAAACGTGACAGTCAGATTAGAAGCTTAGAAGCATCACCGACAACTCAGCGAAGAAAGATGCTCTTTTCATCTAATAGCATCACTGACAATAACGGAAAACTTTATGTACCTAGTTTTGGACGATGATTTGTATCAATTTGAATATACTCAGCCAATAATGATTTAGTTACGCTTCATTAAATGGACTAGCTTTTTTCAGTGACTAAAAATGCTTGCAGGAAGTTGTTGTTTTGATGAGCATAGTAAAGATGAGAATGAAGACTCTGCAATAAGCTAAAAGGGAATTCAATTCAGGATTGCTGTCAACAAAAAAATTGAAAGTTTATTCCTCGTGTATCAAACAAAATTCAGACAAAATTTGAATCACGATACTTAATGATATGGGAGGGGATAGACAAAAATCATTTTGTATGCTTATTAGGGGTCTGATTGAAACACAATTAATAGCCAAAATATAAAACCAGCATGATTATACATTATTTATATTAAATTAAAACCCGAGAAAAAGAGAAACAATAGAAAAAAATACAAACTATATTGAATCAGCTTACGAGGTTGTCCCCGTCAAACAAACTCAAAGAGATACATGATAGTGCAAACACAACCATTCCATAAAAAACATAATCATTTAATAAAACTACATATAATCAAGAAACACGGTTTCTATACTAGAAGCTCTTACCACTAATAAAAGCTTCGCACCCCTTGTAATACAACACAAACATAGCAAGAAAGCAGACAGAAAAAAGTCGAAAGCCGCTGTCAAAAAAAGAAGTTTTTAAAATATCGAGAAAAGCTAAATCTTTCAAAGTTTTCATTTCTTTGTCTTGAATAAAATTTAACTTCTAAAAAAAACATGAACATAAAAAAAATCAACAAAAGTAATTGACTAAATAACGGCATTCAAGCCGACAAATTTTAGGCAGACACTCGTTGCCTAAAAAAGGTTTTCATAAGCAAAATTTAAAAACTTTTAAGAACTATCATTTTACATCATCAAAAGACTCACAAGCATAGTAAACTTGTTTGGCTCGTTCAGCAAGAAAAAATGATGTCACTAAACCCAATAAGCATAAAGTGAAAAATCAAAAAATAAACAAAAATGTTTTTTCATTAAGTTTTTTTAATTTGAAATTTTAAAAAAGAAAAGTATAAAAGAAAAGTCCGCAAAAAACCTGGTACCTCAATTAGCTACGCCAACGTTGCTTTAGGATTGGTATCTAAGAAATGAGAAAAAAACTGGACCGTACACGGTTGCAACACTCTTGCTTATAGCAAGTGTAACCAAAACTGTGGCATCTGGAGTTCGCAGAAGATCTATAGAAGGCTATCTAGCCTTTCTAAGGATAGTCCTTTTCTCTCAAATACTCACCTTCCAAATTAAGCATTTGGGTTAAGCAAAGGGCTGTTTTTGCAACTCAAGACCTACTCTTTTGCGGCGTCTGGAAGTTTCGAAAATTACCATTATTGTACTTAAAATTGGTCAGGCTGTATTAGGCTTGAAGCTCGAGGTCAAAAGAAAGCTCGTCTTTAAACACAATTATTGCCATGTCATGAGAGGGAATACAAAATCTGACAAAATCAAAGTGAACGCCTTACTGCTATGCTATGTACCTCCGTCGCGTGTGTTTGCTATTATCACTTTTGTATCTGACCGTTTCAAAATTCCGAACTCGTCTTGATTCACAGTGCTTGTTGCCAACGAGTAATGCAAATTAACTCAGCGCAAAAAAATTATATATGCATACAGTTCTCAATCACGGGCACAAGAGATTATTTGGTGGTAATTTCCATTTTGGATAAGCTATCTCAATTATTCAGAAATTTCAAAACAGTTTATATCAACACGTCAATTTTTGCATCATGTTTTTGCAAAACTGAGTTATTTTTACACATTTTGCTCACAAAAACCATTAGAAATTTGAATAATGTGGAAGCTAATTTGGCTATCAAAGTACTGATAACAATCACGCCCAAATACCTCAAGGTTCATGTACAAAGTTTTGGAATGTGATATGTTTCACCTCTCCTAAAATAAATGGGATAACTTGTCCCTCACACTTTTTCCCACAGTTTAAGGAATTTTGTGTGTGAACATTAAGGGCAAAACGTGTGTGAACCAAATGTGTTTCTGTTTAAAAGACAAAGAGGAAGCTGAGCTTAGCATCTCGTGCGTTACCGAATAGATGTATAAACAAAACATTATAAACATTCTAAAAAGCAGGACGCAGCAAAAAAATTATTTTTAGTGTATTAGCGTACGACAACATCAAAAGAAAACTCTAAACCTGTTAGAAAAAAAAACCGAAAAGTTCAAAAAAACTCATTATTGAACTTTTATGAAAGTGCAGTATTCCCAGTTTGATAAAAAAACAAAAAAAAGATGCAGGAAAAATGTATATCGATACCTTAAACATGTGCAACTTGTTAGTGAATATTGATACTTAAAATTTTTTATATTCGAAATGACTGCTTAGTTTGATCAATTTTGCTTTAAGTTTTTCAAACTTAGGTTCCGTCTATCTTTAGTGTTTCAAAGGAACTATGGCGTAGTTTGTGTTTTTTTTTCTTTATTTTGAATAAATTAAAGAAAGCTCCTATGTCGGCCAAGTGTACGCTCTTTCGGCCTGGTTCTGAAATCAATTCAGCTATAATCCAGTTTTCTTTCTAATTTGAATACCTCTATTTCTCAACTGGCTCAATCGCTTTTGGGTGAAAGAAGAACAACAGAAACGTTAAGGAAAAAAATCAAGGAAAAAGTTTGAAACCTAGTTTGAATCCTTGGAAAAAACTGTTATCCTAGTTTCATTATGAAGTAATTCTACATTAAGCATAGCATCAAAATTTTTGACTGCGTTCAAACAACAAACTATTTTTCGATAATATATTTTGCGCAAGTATTTCTAATAATTCAATTTTGCTGAAAGATGGTGAAACGCAAACATCCTATCAAAAACTAAAATAGCACAAAAAATTGTATGAAGAATAGCCGGTCACTGTGCAAGTAGCACAGAATGATCCGACCCAAGTCTTAACAAATTCAATGTTTTTTTTTCGAAGTGGCGTGATAAAAATATCTCAACGAAAAACAAGAACTTAGACATACTCAACAATCATAGTAAAATAGGCAAATTGGACAACAGTTTTTGCAGAATGACCAAAAAAACAAAACAAAGGTATAAAAAATCAAAAAGTTCAAAATTTTGTTCAAAATTTGCTCGTTTCATTTGCTCGGATTTCAAATTTTAAACCTTCAACACATCAAAACTTTAAAACTGGCTTTTCTCTATATTGGGACATTTTTCTGAAAGTTTTTAGGCTCGCTCGAATGAAGACTGAAGGAGTTTCAATATGATATATCACTTGACCCACTCCGATGATTATTTGTGGTACCTGATTGTACTGGAAAAATTGAAGAAAAAAAACACACCCGAATACAAAGTTCTTCACTGTTTTCAATAGTCAAAACAATGATGTAAAAATTTTTAAATAATCAAGGAGCTAGAAATCTATTGAGTCCAATTAATTGGTATTAAACTTGATCCTCATAAACCAAAAAACAATGATTTGAAAAAAGGAAAAGCTACTAATTTTTAAACAAAATTCGGTGTTTTCGATTGGTTCTCCAACTGGATAAATGCTTCCAAATTGAATTAATTGACTTTTGCGCGTCCAGACAATTCGGCCAAAGACAATTCAGCCGATTTGAAATTCAGACAATTCAGCCAAAAGTATGCAGACAATTCAGCCAATAGTGACCGCCGCAGTCTGCAAAATTTAGAGCCGTTATCGCCGCGCCCACCGGCGACCTTAAACCGAGAAATAACTCCAATTCCGATTTTTTTCTTTCGAATCTAGGGTTTTGTAAAACTGGCTGAATTGTCTCATGCTGAATTGTCTGTATATTTCTGGCTGAATTGTCTGTATTTCAAAATGGCTGAATTGTCTTTGAGCGAATTGTCTGTGCGCCGACTTATGATATGATAAAATTTGATTCAAAGTTACTACACAACGCTCACCAAAGCTAAACGAACAGATAGTGCTAGAAGAAGTGCAACTCTCGGCAGAAGCAGCTTGTGAACAAAACTTGTAATGTTTGTACAGTTTTAAAGAAGTCTAGCACTTGTTTACAGTTGCCCTAACTTTTTGCTACTCAACTTTTGATCGCGCCATTTTTTCCATACGTTTCTACAGCAACGGTTTATTTCCACGCCATAATTTTACCCCTAAAGTTATTGTTTCTGTTATAACATCTCACCGATATTCAAGAAAAAAGTAATTGAGTCTTATCAAGTCAATACTCAAAGCGAATATGCGGAAAATAAAGTTTCCCTATTTTAATACATAGGTCTTAATTAGGTCTTAGTAAAAATCAGATAAGAGCTGACTGATTATTTTGACGAAACTCTAGCATAGATTTTCAGTTCACTCTTGACATTACTCATAATTATTTTCAATCACAATAACTGGTAAAGTTTAATTTCGTGATTTCTTCTAAAAACAAACGTATTCGATTCATTTTTTTGTCATGAAGCTGACAAGAAACGTGAAATAAATACTCAATCATCAATTTAGCTAACTCCGACATGACCGAAACTTCAAATCTCCAATTTTTGGTTTGCAGACGAAAATTTCAAATTAAGCGCTAAATTTTCTGCAAGTTTACTTTATTCATATCAGTATGGCTGTGGCAGCACCTTATTGCCTTTGTTTGATTACCAAATAAAAGTTTATAAAAAAAATGTACAACATTTTTTACTAGCCTAGATAAAGCTAGCCCCAAAAATCAGTCCGCAAAAATGTGTTGGGTTTCGAGTAGTCAAATAAAAGTTTCCTTAACACCAGTTACCTGGTTGATTCTTTCAATTGCAGCAAAACTTTACCAAAAAAATCCAGATTCAGGTCGTAACACTTTGTACGAGTTGAATCATGTGCTTGCTTTGGTATATAAAATTGCTCCCGTCTGAGCTTTGGCAAAAAAAAGCTTAGCAATTGGCAGGATAGTTTTCGAGAAAAGTCAAAGAGTTTCCAAAGCAAAAACGTCCGAGTTTCAAAACTGACTTCTTTGAGCGCCGTAGCTTTTGCTTCAAAAAATTGGACGCAGCCAATTGTAAAGGTAAGCGTTCAACGAGCTGTTATTTTGATCAATCCTTGATATCAGATTTGACAGGATAGTTATCGAGAAAAGCGGTCAGCAAAAAACAGTCAGCAAATCTCAAATAGATGACTTTTCCGAGATTCATAGCTTTTTATGTAGAAAAAAAATTAGCTTAGTTGCCTAAGCAGATGTTTATGTAACTTGTTATTTCAATTGAAACCTAAAAACTCAGATTTGAGAGGGTAGTTTTGGAGAAAAGCCAAATAGTTCCAAAAGACAGCGATAAAAGCTTAAAACAGTTTCTGAAACCATAACTTTTCGGTGTAAAAAAATTTGGCGTCATCGATTCTGGAGGGGAGCTTCACATCACTTCAATATCTGAGATATCAATCGAAATAAAAGCTATAGATCTCCAGAAAAACTTCAAAAACCTGTCAAAAATTCAAAATTTTGATTTTTCCGAGAGCAATAGTTTTTTGTATAAGAAATTAGGGAGTGGCCATAACTTCTTAACACCCGTAAACCCCATTGAAACTAGAATTTTGGATTTGTGAGAGTAGTTTGTGAGGAAATGAAACAGAAACCAAAATTATGGGTCAGTTATCTTCCCATAGACACTTTCGAAGGCTGTCGACAGTGATGTATCTTAAGAAGATACAACTTTTTCAGTGATGTAACTTTTTCAAAACGTCTCAAAAACACACAAAACCCAATTTCATTCATTTTCATGAAACTTGTTTTTATCAAACAAGTTAAGGCAAGCAGGCTAAACAATACACTCGAATTTTGAATAAGCAACAGAACAAAACTTACAAACCGGAAACAAAGCCGATACCAGTTGAGCCGAAAACAAACTTTCTAAAAAAATCTTTGTAAAGTTTCAAGTCCGCCCTAAAACTACAATGAGAAACACGTGCAAATTTTATGGTACTTGCTTACCGCACAAGAAAAATCCGTGATGTGTAACCCTGAGAAAAATTGAGCAGACAAACGAAAATACAACCCAATTTTTATCGGAACAAGTTTTCAATTGCAGCAAAACTTTACCAAAAAAATCCAGATTCAGGTCGTAACACTTTGTACGAGTTGAATCATGTGCTTGCTTTGGTATATAAAATTGCTCCCGTCTGAGCTTTGGCAAAAAAAAAGCTTAGCAATTGGCAGGATAGTTTTCGAGAAAAGTCAAAGAGTTTCCAAAGCAAAAACGTCCGTGTTTCAAAACTGACTTCTTTGAGCGCCGTAGCTTTTGCTTCAAAAAATTGGACGCAGCCAATTGTAAAGGTAAGCGTTCAACGAGCTGTTATTTTGATCAATCCTTGATATCAGATTTGACAGGATAGTTATCGAGAAAAGCGGTCAGCAAAAAACAGTCAGCAAATCTCAAATAGATGACTTTTCCGAGATTCATAGCTTTTTATGTAGAAAAAAAATTAGCTTAGTTGCCTAAGCAGATGTTTATGCAACTTGTTATTTCAATTGAAACCTAAAAACTCAGATTTGAGAGGGTAGTTTTGGAGAAAAGCCAAATAGTTCCAAAAGACAGCGATAAAAGCTTAAAACAGTTTCTGAAACCATAACTTTTCGGTGTAAAAAATTTTGGCGTCATCGATTCTGGAGGGGAGCTTCACATCACTTCAATATCTGAGATATCAATCGAAATAAAAGCTTTAGATCTCCAGAAAAACTTCAAAAACCTGTCAAAAATTCAAAATTTTGATTTTTCCGAGAGCAATAGTTTTTTGTATAAGAAATTAGGGAGTGGCCATAACTTCTTAACACCCGTAAACCCCATTGAAACTAGAATTTTGGATTTGTGAGAGTAGTTTGTGAGGAAATGAAACAGAAACCAAAATTATGGGTCAGTTATCTTCCCATAGACATTTTCGAAGGCTGTCGACAGTGATGTATCTTAAGAAGATACAACTTTTTCAGTGATGTAACTTTTTCAAAACGTCTCAAAAACACACAAAACCCAATTTCATTCATTTTCATGAAACTTGTTTTTATCAAACAAGTTAAGGCAAGCAGGCTAAACAATACACTCGAATTTTGAATAAGCAACAGAACAAAACTTACAAACCGGAAACAAAGCCGATACCAGTTGAGCCGAAAACAAACTTTCTAAAAAAATCTTTGTAAAGTTTCAAGTCCGCCCTGAAACTACAATGAGAAACACGTGCAAATTTTATGGTACTTGCTTACCGCACAAGAAAAATCCGTGATGTGTAACCCTGAGAAAAATTGAGCAGACAAACGAAAATACAACCCAATTTTTATCGGAACAAGTTTTCAATTGTACAAACACTGAAAACAAAGGTCCTGCCGGAAATCAAACACCAGACTTTAGGGTGCAAAAGCAACCGCGTTACCTCCAGGCCAATTGGGAAGGAACCTGAAAGGGCCAATGAATAAAGCAAGTTCACTTTCTTGTAGAAGCTGCTAGCGCAAAAAAAAAATCTGGTTCCCGATTACAAGCCGTGCTCTGGCAAGTGTAATGATTTTATATCATCATTTTTTTCAAACTTAGAGTTCTTGATAAAAACTAACTAATAAGGTGACACTTTTTCCAAACTCGTTGATTTCGTATCAGCTTTAATGTTATTTGTAACATTAAACAACCTAATTAATTGATCGCAGTTGTCTAGTTTGTTGATATTAATGGTTTCTGAAGTCTGCTACTAAAGGACAAAACAAACTTTATTTTGATTATTTCAGGCTGGTGTTTTTGACTCCTTGTCTTCTGCGCTCTGTTCATGGATAGCGGCAAGGTAACTAAGCTAAAATTCCAGATTAATTTATGTTTGGTTGATTTAAATCAGGTTGATTTGAAACAGCAAAAAAATACTTATCTTGTCGTCTCGACATGGAAGACAAAGCCTCCTTGAAAGTTAGTTCATATTTATAACAACCGGGTAAAGTAAAAATTTCTAATTAAAATATATTGTTAACGCAGGAGGGATAAAAATAGACGCAACCGGCATGCTGAACGGGCAAAACCTATCACTGAAGAGCAAATAGTGGAATTATAATTCTGGTGTCTGCAAGCATCGATTAGTAAAATTATTGGCAGACAAACATGCGGTTCTCATTGGTTACGTGAATCACTAGAGATCTCCGGATTCAGACATTATTCAAGATTTTTTTTTTCAGATTTTTTTTGCGACAGCTGACCAACTGAACTTTAAAATTTACCTTTTAAACATAGCCAATCAAAGGTTGGAAAAGAGTAATGAGCGCACGTAAACATAAAAAAACTGAACTTCTTGAAAAATTGTCAGTTTTCCATTTTCGAAGAAAAAATACATGCTCTATAAGATCTTTGCATTTCCAGAACAGTTAATGCTGGGCGCTTTGATTGATAACATGAACCCAACTAGAGAAAATTGCATCAATAGGTAAAAAAATTTTCCGCTGGAAATCTAAATTAAATTCCACTTTAGAAACTAGAAATCGTTCACGTTTTTTTGCGCCATTTCCACGTTCGTATTTGGAGAGTGCTATTTACGTCACTTTCAGCAGATTAATTTCAATTGAATTGGAAAATTGCATATATACCTGAGTTCTTTCATAAATGCATCATTATATATGAATGCCCATCTGTTGTTATTAGAGACTTTTCCTGAAAAAAAAACAAAAAAATCAGCAAGACCTATATAAGAGTCTTCACTACGTTCATTTCTCTTAAAAACAAAGTAAGTTTAAGCAGCATAAATGCTCTTTTTAACTGTTTTGACATTTTACGCAGAGATTGCACTAAGCAAACACAAGCAACAAAACGGCAAAAAGAAGCTCTAAGCGTGAACAACGAAAAAGAAGCTAAAACATGACTTGAAAAAACACAACTTCTGCCATGTGTCGGAATCGAACCCCTAATCTCCGCGATTAAGTCACACGTCCTCGCATCTGTGCCATCATAGCACGCGTGTCGTGAAACACTAGAATAGTCACCAATAAACCAGATGCCATTTCATCGTCTATTGCAGCAGAATAGCCACCAAATGAGCAACTTTATTTGTGACTTTTGTTGGAAAAAAGTGAATTAGTATTATAAAGCTACGCTCACTAGGGTAAAAAAAAGATCCGTAAAACTATATTATCGACTTTATTATACCCTATCTAACTACATTGAATTCATATGTAGTATACACATTCTTGCATAATGAATAAAAAAGAATAGATAAAATCTGCACATATGTAAAGCACAAATAGTTAAATAAAGTCTGCAAACTCTTTAGAGCAGTTTTTGGTCTTCAGTTTTCATTGGTTACTAAGAGAGCACGTATTGAATGCCCATGAGCCCAAATAATTAGCTAAAAATTAGCAATGTGAGTGAGCGGGCAAGATAATTGTTTGGTTCTAAAAAGATGGTACGCCAGCAAAGTATCTGATCTTCTCGTAGCTGATCCAGAACACGAGAGACCAGGGTGCCATTCGAGACCAGATGGGCACGAATCCCTTCCAGAGGGCTAACACACCTTCCTCTCCCACTGTTCTCCTCAGGCAGTCTACAACGCCTTTGTACACTAGGGGTCTGAAAAAGTCAAAGATGAATGTTACAATTTTCAATTTAGCCTAAGCTAGTGAATTAAAAATTTCACATGGTTTGAACTAAACATCTGTATTGCACTTTGCTTTAACAATTAAAAAAACAACAGCATGCCGTTGAAACAATGAAGCTAACCGAAACATTTAAGATCGAAAGCAATGAAAAACGAACTAAAGTTGGAAAGATATGCTGTCGTTTGTATTGTTCCGACCATTTGAAAAATGGGGATGAATTTTGTATTCGGGTGTGTTTTAGTTTTTTTGTTTTCCAAAATCAGACACCACAAATAATCAGCAGAATTGATCGAGTGATATGTCATATTAAAGCGCTTTCAGTTGTCATTCGAACGAATCTCAAAAATTTGTCCCAGTATCGAGAAAAACAGGATTAAAACTAAGTTATGTATCTACTGACCGTTTAGCCCTGAACCAAAACTATTTGTGTTACGGGGGCTCTAGGGGATGGGACACAGTTAGTAGAAGCAGTAACCGCTAAGCGAACAAGTTCAAGTTTTGTAATTGAACCACGACTGTTAAGCTTTCAGAATTTCAACACCCAAAACCCTTTTTACAGCAATAATTTTGTCTGTGCTCGAATTAGACTATATCAGTTCGTAAAAAAATAATCCCACGTAGTTAATGGACTATTTAAGGCTTTAGTTGCAATATAAGAAGAACGCTTCCCATGGATAATTTGACAAACAAGTAATTGAATGTTTAGTTTTTTTTCTCTTATTCTCCTCATTTTAACTTATCCTTATATTAGTATTTCATGCGCTTTTCATAGAACGGCAGCAGTCCACTTAGAGTTTCAATTTACTGTTAATAGGTTGCTGGTGATCTTTTGAATTATGTAATGTAATTTGTGGTAATGAGAATTCAATTCTTTTTCCTCTTCTTTTTCTAAGTTCGAGCGAAACACGGAAGCTTTTATATGATTTTGCTTTGTTTTGCATTTTTCCACTAAAATTTTTGTCTAATTTGCTTATTTTATTATGACTGTCGAATTCGAATATGCCTAAGATCTAGTTTTTCAGATCCTTTTATCACACTGAGCAGAAAAAACTACAAACATTTGAAAACCGTTTTTATACTTTCTTAAGACTATGGTCGGAACATTCTTGGCTACTTGCACTGTAACCGGCTATACTTGTTACCAATTCGCTTTGCTTGCATGAAACTCAAATTAGGCAAAATGTTTTTAAAGAGTTACAATCCTGCAGCAAACACAAATAAACATAGCTAAATTTGTTTGGAAACTTTCTAAATATGAAACAAAATGTTTTGTTGATTTTCAGTAAATCTTGATCACTTACTTTCCACTTTGGTCTACAGGTTGGTTCATGATTCTCGTTTTGATCACATCGGCAGGAGTTCCCACCAAAGCTGCCACCAGACCACTTGCAGCACTGAAAAACAGCATTCATGTATCTTAACCTACCAATTTCTCTTTGACTTTCCCGGCAAACCTTCATATTTCATTTGAAATTGATGAAATAATTTAAGATACTTAAATTGACAATTTAAGGGGATATTTAACTTAATTGACAAAACGCGTTCAAATATTACCTTGATAAGGAATGAGTTAGAGCATTGTCTTTCATCGAGAAGTCAATTAACAGTTTGCGTTTCACCTGGTCATACGTTGCTAGCTCTAAAAACATGAAACATTCCCTCAAATTATCATACTCAATGCCGCAAATGAAACACTATCAAATGATGCCAAAAACATTTAGAAGTTATAAAGAAGGTGAGGTTGGTGAGAATCTATGATTTTCACTCAAGGAGGGGGTTCTTGTAGGTCGGCTAAAGTACAGGCCAAACGAAGTTTCAGATCATTTTTTGGAATGTTTTGACTAGAAAATTGTTTTTTTTTTCAGCGCGCACACTCTCAAACTTAGCGTTTGGTTACGCCAAAGAGCCAAAAAATACGGTGAAATACTACCAAATGTGAGACCCTTTTGAAGGTCAGGGGTTAGAACAGCTGAAGAGAACACTTAACCAAGTGCATACCTCCAAGATTGACTAAAGCAGCTCTTTGGCAGTTAGGAAGCCAGCCCCTCCACAATCCAAGCACACCTCCCTCGCTAAGCAACACTCTCATGGCATGCAAGCTGTTGCGAAATCTAAAACAGCCAGCTTCAGCTCTATTTCTATTAGTCTGACCCGAGCCAAAAAAATAAATTATCTCCGAAACTATGGTATCACGCTTAGATGTTTAAAATATTTCAGTTTACGAAGCGCTATCATGCGACGACTACAATTACCCAAAAAAAAAAAAATTGGAACTAACGATACTGCCCTTGTCGCCTATAGCCAAATTAATTGAACGTATACTGCTCAATTCTTTCAACAGCATTAAAAGTCAATATTAAAAAAGTCAAGTTTTACAAAAATGTCAACTTTAGAAAATCCAAGAAAAAATAGATGTCCTTAAAGCTCTTTAAATTTGTAGAAAAATTTATGACTGACACTTTTTTGATTTAAAAAACTCAATTTGAGAAAACTGGATCAATAAGTAGTTTATTTTGCTGTGAAACATGAAAACTAAATTCGAAAGCAGAAGTCGATCAGGTTTTTCGTGACCTTTACACTTTCGCTGCTCGATAGTGGACTTTGCCTAACTTTTCAAACAAAGGAAATGAACTGAATTTGAAAAAGAATCAAAAGTCAAACCGCTAAAAAACAAATTTGAGCGTGAACAAACTTTAAGACTTTTTCCTGAAGAAAAATCATCACAACTTATATTAGAGTCTTCAGTACGTTTGTCGACGACTCGTAATCAGGACTGAAATAACTTCGAGACCGTACTCCGTTGGTGCACTTAGCCTTTAAGATTCCACACTATTGCAGTGTGAAAAATGTCAGGACCACTTCAATTTCTATGATGAAAGGATTGATTAACCACTGTCTTGACAGTTGAATGTTTTTCATCTGCCTGTGAGTTGGTATTCGTGCGCAATATATGTTTAATGCATTCTCTGTGACTTACCGCACCGGTTCGCCTTTTAGCCTTCTGATTCCTTCAGTCTGCATCTGGACCTTCAGCAGATCCATGGGACTGGCAATTAATTGGCCAAGGGCTCCCGCTGTTGACCCAGCTACACACGATTTCCTATAAAATATGAAATTTACGCACTTCACAAAGTTCTGAAGACAATGCAAAACTATATTTATTCAATACCTAGCGTGAACTATCAACCTTCTTCTTAACTAACTAATCAATACTTTTAGCTAATAAAAATGATCATTCGCGTGTTTTTTCTAACTGAATTGATAATTAATCGATTTAAACCACTTTAATCGATTTAATTACTATCTGCTATAATCATTCCACATTCTAAATTTGTCATGATTTTACGTACTTCCGTTGCTTCACTCACCAGATTGAAAAACTTCCGTCTTCATTTTGGCCTAGAAGTCCTCGAAACTTCTCGTAGGTCATTATCCTAAATCCGGAGTAAACTGAAAGCGAGATATAACATGGTAGTGTCGTTAGTCTCTTCAATTTGTTTCAATCACTCATCTACATACTCATGTGTCTATACACTGCAGGCGGAAGACCCGACCACAGTCTGAACAAACCCTCTTTCTTCACTAAAACGATCACAATAAAACCCAGTAAACGCGACAAACATTAGAAAGAGACTAGGATATGAATGGTCAAATAAATTAAAGGAACTGCGATGGCAGGTGTTTAACCATTTCAACACATGATTCGACAAAATAGTAGGGACAAACAGAAAAAATTCAATTCAAGTAAAGCTATTTCGAACAGTTCAACTTACCAATTTGCATGAAAATCGAAACAACTCCGTGATACTTTGGTCCAGCTGCATTTAGATGAGCTTTTGGATGATTATGGGTCTTGGAAGCAACAGACAATTTCTGGATTTGCAGACGCGTTTTGATCAAGTCCAGTGGATATGTGGCTGGTAAACACACAAGCTTATTCAATATAGGTGCTCGAGTTCCTAATCTACTGGATATCAAAAAACAGATTCAAGGTATACTACCAGTCCCACTGCAGCTAAAGCTGCTTCTCAAAAATGACAACGACTATCTGTTAAATGGAAAAAGGCTCTCAAACGAAAAATACTTCAAACAAAAACAGGCCAGACAGTTGAAGGTTTCAAATACTGAAAAAAAAATCTAGCTTTGCAAAATTCCGTTTTATATCAAACTTTTGATATCTGAACAGAAGAAAACATTGATTCGCATGACTAGTGTAATTGCGCATTCTTCAAAAAAAAACTTGGAAAAAATTGCTAAATAAAAAAATCGGGAGTCACATATTTACTGTTTCAACTTGCATTTCAGATGAGTGATGTATTAACAAGTAGCCAGTCATCTTGAAAGAAACAAAAAAAAATACCAGGGCAAGCGGTTGACCTAAATCAAGGGTTGCATGATTAAAATCAACTTGATTTAAATCAATGATTTAATTCCGATTTTAATCAAAGAATAAAAATCAGAAGAATCAACTGTGCAAATCTATTGCGTCATCCCGCCGCGGTAAACAAATATAGCAGCTATGCAGTGTATACACTGATTACCTAAATCGCTCTTTCTTCTTGTATTCTGCTATGCTGCTCACATCGCAGCTATGCAGTATTAAAATTTAGCTTCACTTGAGCTTTTAACTAGCTTCACACTTTCGACCAATCCAGCTTACACTTTCGGGCTCAGCTTCACACTTTCGTTTTTGGGCGGTCGCGGCATTATTTGGAAGAATCATTGGAAAATCAATTAGAATTCGAAATTTCATTCCGTTCAAATGGTTCGTAGCAATATCAGTGATTTGTAAGCCATGTTATAGAACCGTACTAATAGCGCCTATATTCCGAGACCTCTCAGAGATTTGTCCCGAAAAACATGATTCACACCGTAACAAAGGGTCACTTTTATTTTATAAACGCTAAAAGCTGACCTGATATTACCTACAACAACTACACCTAGACTACAACTGATGTTTGATACTTTGAAGCTTTAACTATTGATACTTTTCATGTTTTCATACTTGTTTCATTGTCTTTTCAGAAGACTTGAATTTACACTTCTTCTTCTTCACACTTTCAACTGGCCGAAGACAGCATGGTCAAGAATGTTGCCAAGTACGGGTTCAAAGTATGTGGATTTGTTACTGACAACGCAGCGGATGTGCGGAAAATGAGGAAGACTCTTTCTGAAAGTGACCACGAAGCGGTATTCATGCTTGGATGCTCAGCACACATTCTCAACTTACTGATGAAAGATTTTTAAGTCAAAAGTGTACTAGATAAAATCTTACGAGTCATCAAGTATTTCCAAAACGTTCATAAAGCTGTTTCTTGGCTACGTGAAAAAGAATTGCCCCAGAAACTTTCTCTGCCCAATGACACTCGCTGGAACAGTACCCGGGATGGCCTAACGTTATACTTCGAAGCATGACCTGCTATGGTAACAATTGCCGAAGAAAATCGAATAGAAATGCCGAAAGAAATTTACGATGCGATAACCAACTTGAACCTGAAACGCAATATTGAAGATTATTTGTTACTTCTGAATCCTTAAGTAAAGCTTTGGATAAAATTCAAGCTTCTAACGTGAACTTGCCAGAAGCTGTCAAAATCAAAAAAATCAACTGTGCAAATATATTGCGTCATCCCGCCGCGGTAAACAAATATAGCAGCTATGCAGTGTATACATTGATTACCTAAATCGCGCTTTCATCTTGTACTCTGCTATGCTGCTCACATCGCAGCTATGCAGTATTACAAATTAGCTTCACTTTAGCTTTTAACTTAGCTGCACACTTTCGACCAATCCGACGCCTTTGGGCTATCTTGGCATTATTTGGAAGAATCATTGGAAAATCAATTAGAATCCGAAATTTCATTAGGGTCAAATGGTTCGTAGCAATATCAGTGATTTGTAAGCCAAGTTATAGAACCGTACTAATAGCGCTTATATTCCGAGACCTCTCAGAGATTTGTCCCAATAAACAGGAGTTACACCGTAATAAAGGGTCACTTTTAATTTATAAACGTTAAGAGCTGACCTGATATTACTTACAACAACTACACCTAGACTACAACTGATGTTTGATACTTTGAAGCTTTAACTATTGATACTTTTCATGTTTTCATACTTGTTTCATTGTCTTTTCAGAAGACTTGAATTTACACTTCTTCTTCTTCACACTTTCAACTGGCCGAAGACAGCATGGTCAAGAATGTTGCCAAGTACGGGTTCAAAGTATGTGGATTTGTTACTGACAACGCAGCGATTGTGCAGAAAATGAGGAGTACTCTTTCTGAAGGTGACCACGAAGCGGTATTCATGTTTGGATGCTCAGCACACATTCTCAACTTACTGATGAAAGATTTTTAAGTCAAAAGTGTCCTAGATAAAATCTTACGAGTCAAGTATTTCCGAAACGTTCATAAAGCTGTTTCTTGGCTACGTGAAGAAAAATTGCCCCGGAAAATTTCTTCGCCCAATGACACTCGCTGGAGCAGTACCCGGGATGGCCTAACGTCGTACATCGAAGCATGACCTGCTATGGTAACAATTGCCGAAGAACATCGCATAGAAATGCCGATAGAAATTTACGATACGATAACCAACTTGAACCTGAAACGCAATATTGAAGATTATTTGTTACTTCTGAATCCTTGAGTTACGCTTTGGATAAAATTCAAGCTTCTGTCGTGAACTTGCCAGAAGCTGTCAAAATCAAAAGAATCAACCGTGCAAATCTATTGCGTCATCCTGCCGCGGTAAACAAATATAGCAGCTATGCAGTGTATACATTGATTACCTAAATCGATCTTTCATCTTGTACTCTGCTATGCTGCTCACATCGCAGCTATGCAGTATAAAAATTTAGCTTCACTTTAGCTTTTAACTCAGCTTCACACTTTCGACCAATGGCATTATTTGGAAGAATCATTGGAAAATCAATTAGAATCCGAATTTTCATTCCGGTCAAATGGTTCGTAGCAATATCAGTGATTTGTAAGCCAAGTTCTAGAATCGTAATAATAGCGCTTATATTCCGAGACCTCTCAGAGATTTCTCCCAATAAACAGGAGTTACACCGTAAAAAAAGGGTCACTTTTAACTTATAAACGTTGAAAGCTGACCTGATATTACCTACAACAACTACACCTAGACTACAACTGATGTTTGATACTTTGAAACGTTAACTATTGATACTGAAACGCTGGAGCAGTACCCGGGATGGCCTAACGTCATACATCGAAGCATGACCTGCTATGGTAACAATTGCCGAAGAAAATCGAATAGAAATGCCGAAAGAAATTTACGATGCGATAACCAACTTGAACCTGAAACGCAATATTGAAGATTATTTGCTACTTCTGAATCCTTGAGTTACGCTTTGGATAAAATTCAAGCTTCTGTCGTGAACTTGCCAGAAGCTGTCAAAATCAAAAGAATCAACTGTCCAAATCTATTGCGTCATCCTGCCGCGGTAAACAAATATAGCAGCTATGCAGTGTATACATTGATTACCTAAATCGATCTTTCATCTTGTACTCTGCTATGCTGCTCACATCGCAGCTATGCAGTATTAAAATTTAGCTTCACTTTAGCTTTTAACTCAGCTTCACACTTTCGACCAATGGCATTATTTGGAAGAATCATTGGAAAATCAATTAGAATCCGAATTTTCATTCCGGTCAAATGGTTCGTAGCAATATCAGTGATTTGTAAGCCAAGTTCTAGAATCGTAATAATAGCTCTTATATTCCGAGACCTCTCAGAGATTTGTCCCAATAAACAGGAGTTACACCGTAATAAAGGGTCACTTTTAACTTATAAACGTTGAAAGCTGACCTGATATTACCTACAACAACTACACCTAGACTACAACTGATGTTTGATACTTTGAAACGTTAACTATTGATACTTTTCATGTTTTCATACTTGTATTATTGCCTTTTCAGAAGACTTGCAGTTACACTTCTTCTTCTTCTTCACACTTTCAACTGGCCGAATACAGCATGGTCAAGAATGTTGCCAAGTACGGGTTCAAAGTATGTGGATTTGTTACTGACAACGCAGCGGATGTGCGGAAAATGAGGAACACTCTTTCTGAAAGTGACCACGAAGCGGTATTCATGCTTGGATGCTCAGCACACATTCTCAACTTACTGATGAAAGATTTTTAAGTCAAAAGTGTCCTAGATAAAATCTTACGAGTCCAGTATTTCCGAAACGTTCATAAAGCTGTTTCTTGGCTACGTGAAGAAGAATTGCCCCAGAAAATTTCTTCGCCCAATGACACTCACTGGAGCAGTACCCATGATGGCCTAACGTCATAAATCGAAGCATGACCTGCTATGGTAACAATTGCCGAAGACCATCGCATAGAAATGCCGAAAGAAATTTACGATGCGATAATCAACTTGAACCTGAAACGCAATATTGAAGATTATTTGTTACTTCTGAATCCTTGAGTTACGCTTTGGATAAAATTCAAGCTTCTGTCGTGAACTTGCCAGAAGCTGTCAAAATCAAAAGAATCAACTGTCCAAATCTATTGCGTCATCCTGCCGCGGTAAACAAATATAGCAGCTATGCAGTGTATACATTGATTACCTAAATCGATCTTTCATCTTGTACTCTGCTATGCTGCTCACATCGCAGCTATGCAGTATTAAAATTTAGCTTCACTTTAGCTTTTAACTCAGCTTCACACTTTCGACCAATGGCATTATTTGGAAGAATCATTGGAAAATCAATTAGAATCCGTATTTTCATTCCGGTCAAATGGTTCGTAGCAATATCAGTGATTTGTAAGCCAAGTTCTAGAATCGTAATAATAGCGCTTATATTCCGAGACCTCTCAGAGATTTGTCCCAATAAACAGGAGTTACACCGTGATAAAGGGTCACTTTTAACTTATAAACGTTGAAAGCTGACC